CAGGTTCCCTGGTAAATGTTAAGTCTTGATGAGTGACAGCTTAGCATCGCCCGGGAGTCTGAGAGGCCAAGGAGATCCACAGGAAACAAAGATGCAATGTTGATCCTCTGAAGAACGCAGATGTCGAGGAGAGAAAGAACTGATGGGAGCATCTAAGGGAGCCAGCTGCCATTTTTGTGACCCCAGCCACATGCCCTTCAGAAAGCATCCTTGTTCTGGTGCTCAAATGGCTTCTTCTCACATTCACAAAACCGCCCTTCCCGGGCCTCATGAATGCATTCTTAGGACTTAAATATAGCGCTCATTCTCAGAACGACATTGTGGGGTGACAATAATATCATTGTTGTTCTACTGTATCAAAGGCCGCCTTCATGAGCAAAGCCATGTTCTCAGGCTTGCGTGCCTCTCTGAAGTACTCTTTCATCAGAGTTTAATTCCACCCAAGAGCATTAGAGATAAGAGTACAGTTCCAGGATGCCTCGAGTCACCAGGCTTTGCTCTCGACTTCTGAAGCAGAAAGGATATTACAAAGCCTGCTGTGCTGGGCATGTTGCTGTGTGCCTGTAATTCCAATGCTTTGGAGGCCGAGGAAGGAGGATCAAGAGTTCAAAACCAGCCTGGAGAACTGTCCCAATAAAATCAATAATGAATTAAAATAAAAGCCAGGTATAAAGTTAAAAGACATATGAACAGCACTTGAAAAACTTCAGAAACCAAGAAAGGCCATATTTTTCTTTTATTTATATTTATTTTTTGTTTGTTTGTTTGCTTGGGGGGTGTGCACACCTGTGTGCATACAGTATGTATGCATGTGAGGTATATATGGTTTGGTTACACACGTGTATGTGTGTGGTTTGGTTACGCATATGTGTGTATGGTTTGGTACACACATGTATGTGTGTGGGTTTCTACATCAGTGAGCATATGTGCTTAGGTCAAAGGAGGACCTTGGGATCCTGCTCAGTCATTCTCCACCTTATTCCCTTGAGACAGGGTCTCTCACTCACTAAACCCAGAGCTAGGCTGGCAGACAGTAAGCCCAATCAATCCTCCTGCCTCAGCCCTCACAGCATGGGGCTACAGGCACATGTGGCCACACACTGCTTTATACATGGATTCTAAGGGACTTGAATGTGTTTGGTTTGAATGCAACTGTTGAGCATCTTCTTAGCCCTGATTTGCAACTGTTTCGTGTTCAGTGCATTTTTGATGACGAGCACATGCACCCTTGCATCTTCTGCTCCACCTCCAGGTCTCTACTATATTTCCAGATGTGAAAGAAACCCCTAAACTCCTCCTGCCTCTCTCCCTAACCCACATTCTCTCTGCCCTCTACCTGCAAGGAAATAGGTACCACCCACCTCTGTCCTCCCCTCCCTGCACTACAGACTCATCCACACCGCTGCAAGCTCCCTTCTTTTCTTGGCTCTTGTAAGAGCACCCAAACTTGTAGCAGAGATGAAACCAAACTGTTGGTTATTTATCTAAATTTTAAATGTTGCTTCCAGACACACTAAGTTCAAACCTAAGTAAGAAGAAAGACAAATCCAGGCCCAAATGGAGGTGAGAGCGAAGCACACTCTCAGGAAAAGAATCAATGTTCATGTTGGCTGCATTTGTAACTTTTGCATTGATTTGACACAGCAGTGTGTGATAGGGGAGTTCAGCCAATCACATTCTGGTTTTGGGGCGTGCCGCCCTCAGGCTAAAGCCTGCCTATAAACCTAGCAAGAGCACTCTGCTAGCTCCTTTTCGCCTGGCTCCTGCGCCTGGACGGATCATTTGAATTCTGGTGTAAGCTGTTGTAAGTCTTACTTCTGTTTATTAAAGCTGTATATTTTGTATTAAGATAGTCTGGGGATTTTTCATTACCAATCGCCCTGCAGCATCAAGTGGGTGAGAAGCTACTCAAAAGAGGAAGGGGTTGTTTTCCTCACGCTTGAGGAGGTGCAGTCTGAGTCTGTCGTGGTGGAGAAGACAGACTGCAAAGCAGGAAACAGGGAGCATACAGGAAGTAGGACTCAGCAAGAAAACACCAGGTCTGCCCCCAGTAACATATGTAATAATACATACTAATTATACATATAATACATAAAACACACACAGATATATGAAACACATAAAGGATACAAATTTTGCTTTGTATAATTATATTATATATGTAATTATATATTTTACATGTAATATATAAAATTATATTATTTTTTATTTTAAAAGGAAGTGCATTCAGTCTGTGAAAATGGCTCAGTGGTGAACACTTGCCATGCATGTGGAATTCAGATCTCTGAAAACACACATAAATGATGAGCGGATATAGCAATTCAGCTGCAATTCTAGTCTGAGACAGTGGAGACAAGAGAGCCCCAGACACGCTACTATTGAGACTATCCACATTGTGGATTCTGGATTTGATTGAGAGATCCTACCTCAAAGAATAAGGTCGTCCATATGCATACCCACACAGGGGCACATTCACCCACACACGTCTGACCATGCAGATGCAAAACATGTGCATGCACACCCAAAAAGAAAGAATTCAAACAAAAGAAGCATGATTTAAATTTGGTTGCAAAGAGCAGAAAGCTGTAAGACAGCTAGCAGTTGGTGATGCTGATCAACAGAATATAATACAAGTCAAGCCTAAAACCACGTATTCCAGCTGTGTACTTTTCTATGCCTGCAGTAATTTTCCTAGGTGTACACTATCAGTAGGCATGTTGTAATTAGTTGTGATCTGTATAATACAAACTGTGCTCCTGAATCAAGTGATTATGTTATATATACTTTACATTAATAGAGGCTGTAGAAATGATATTTGTGATCCCCCTGTAATCACTCAAGTGCTCCTACTGACAGGAAGGTTAGTGAGCCACAGCACAGCTCCATTTTCAAAGAACCTCCACTATTATTAACAATTTATTTCGGAAGTGGTCTCCTGTGCCAATGCATTCAAGTGTACTTCCTACTTTCTTGTCTATGCGGTTCAGTGTGATTGGCTTTATGTTGAGGTCTTTGATCCATTTGGACTTGAGTTTTGTGCATTGTGATAGATATGGGTCTATTTTCTTTCTTCGACATGTTGATATCCAGTTATGCCAGCACCATTTATTAAGTATGCTTTCTGTTTTCCATTCGATATTTTTTGCTTATTTGTCAAAAATCAGGTGTTCGAAGGTGTGTGGATTAATATCTGGGTCTTCTATTTGGTTCCATTGGTCCTTCTGTCTGTTTTTATGCCAATACCAGGCTGTTTTCAGTACTGTAGCTCTGTAGTAGTGTTTGAAGTCAGGGATTGTGATGCCTCCAGAAGTTCATTTATTGTACAGGATTGTTTTGGCTATCCTGGGTTTTTTGCCTTTCCATATGAAGTTGAGTACTGGTCTTTCAAGGTCTGTGAAGAATTTTGCTAGGATTTTGATAGGCACTGTATTGAATCTGTGGATTGCTTTTGGTAAGATTGCCATTTTTATTATGTTAATTCTACCTACCCAAGAGCATGGGAGATCTTTCCACTTTATGGTGTCTTCTTCAGTTTTTTTCTTTAAAGATTTCAGGTTCTTGTCATACAAGTCTTTCACATGTTTGGTTAGAGTTACTCCAAAAATGGTCAAGATCAAAAACTCTGATGACAACTTATGTTGGAGAGGTTGTGGGGGTAAAGGGAACACTCCTGCATTGCTTGTAGGAATGCAAGCTTGTACAGTCCCTTTGAATGTCAGTGTGGCAATTTCTCAGAAAATTAGGAAACAACCTTCCTTATGACCCAGTAATACCACTTTTGGGTATATATCCAAAGGATGCTCAATCGTGTCACAAGGACATGTGCTCAACTATGTTCTTAGCAGCATTGTTTGTCATAGTCAGAACCTGGAAACAACCTAAATGCTCTTCGATGGAAGAATGGATAAAGAAAATGTGGTACATTTACACAATGGAACATTACACAGCAGAAAAAAAATGACATCTTGAATTTTGTAGGCAAATGAATGGAGCTAGAAAACATCATTTTGAGTGAGGTAACCCAGACCCAGAAAGACAGTTATCATATGTACTCACTCATAAGTGGTTTTTAAACATAAAGCAAAGAAAACAAGCCTACAAATCACAATCCCAGAGAACCTAGACAACAATGAGGATCCCAAGAAAGATATACATGAATCTAATCTATGTGGGAAGGAGAAAAAGACAAGATCTCCTGAGTAAATTTGGAGCATGGTGGCCTTAGGAGAGGGTTGAATGGGAGGGGAGAGATAGAGAGGGGAGTAGAGAAAGACGTAGAGCTCAATAAAAATAATAATAAAGACAATTTATTCATGTGAATACAAGGGCTAGCTCTCACCCAATACGTTCCATCCTTGATTCAGTCCTCTGGAGCCATGTGTGAGTCTCTTTCTACCTACACATTTGTGGTGATTTGAATGAGAATGTCCCCCGTAGCCTCAAGCACTTGAACACTTGGCCCCCAGTTGGTGGTGTTGTTTGAGGAGGTAACAGAGAGGCACAGCCTTGCTGGAGAAAGTCTGTCGCTAGTGGTAAGATTTACGCACACAAAGCTATACCCTGCTTCCAGTTTGCTTTCTCTGCTTCATGTCTGTGGTTCAGATGTGCACACTCAGCTTCCTGTACTGACTGCCATACTTACTGCTTGCTGCCATGACTCCTCATAGCCAAAATAAACTTCTCTTGCTTGAGTTGCTTTTGCTCATGGTGCTTTGTCATAGCCACAGAAAATAACTAACACACGTATGTGAAAGAAATATAATTACTTATCTATTCATGGAGTATTGGAGATCAATAAATATATTATTCAATCATAGAATCCTGGCGGGCCATACACTGGACAAATCCTCTACCATTGAACTTCATTTCCAGCCCTCTTTTTACTTTAAGACAGAATCCTCTAAGTTACCTGGATTTAGGGTAGATACTAGGCAGGTTTTGAACTTGCAAATCCACTGCATCAATAAATACTCTGA